TATAGACACACACACACACACACATATATATATATATATATATATATATAGACATGACAATCGGACAAGAACGAAAATTCGAGCACATACCATCAGCGTGAGTGGCAGCGATGGTGTAGGAGGGGGTTCTCTTTCCCCATGACCAGTGGCTGATGAAACTGCTCGGCTGTTTCCACCAGCTCGTTATCGCGTTCGTTGCGCAGCTCTTCTTTGCCATCCAGTACCTCGTCTGCTGTTGTGCTATTCACACCATTGTCTTTATCTTTCGTTGTCACACTCTCATCTGTTGAACTTGCTGTGCTCTTTATACCATAATCTGATATCTGGCCACCCGCGGTGTCACTAGCGGGATGTGTGGTTGCGTTGTGCGCCTTAATTGAGTGTACATCCGGTGCAGTGTCCTCTGCAGAATCCTTTGGTATGGTGTGAGTTTTGGCTGAAGTATGTTTGGCCCTAATTGACGCCAGGTCTCCTGGTAAGTAGTTGACGTTCTTAAAATATATAGACGGTGCAACCTGTGCATTCATTCCTATGTTCCTGAGGTGTGAGCTTAGTGCATTGTAGGGGAGACGCACATATGTGCGAGTGGGTATGTGAGTGGCTGTATAAAAAGTAGGTGTGAATGCCCCATGCACCAGCCCACATTGTGCCTTTAAACCGCCGCCACTCACTGGAAGACGACTGCGAGGTACAATTCTTTGCGCACTGTTAGTGCTTGTGTAAGATCTTGCCGTATTGTTTGTGTTTATATATATCCTTGCCGCAGTGTCGGCCTTTGAGCAGCTCCATGTTGTCGGAAGATTCACAGAACTCTTCGTGCATACTCGTACCAGCAACTGAGAGGATTTGAATTGGGGCATGAACGGAGGTGCACCTCCCAAGAGACTTGTGGACGACTTTTTTGCCAAGTGCCTAAGGCCATGGCCTAAGCGTATCATTGCACTAGATTTCAGGTGAAACTAAAGTCGTCGATCAAACCACATAGATGATTCCACAAGTACACCCCTGTCATTGAATAGTTAGTATATAGACTAACTAGGATGCACACTAACACATTTGCCTTTCAAAGATAGTGCTGCAAGCGGATCATTTCGCAGCAGCGGTACCTGTATCATATATGTGTACATATAT